TTGTTTTGTATAAACAGGGGAAAGAGATTTGGAGAGGTGGGCTGGGAAGAGAGAAGCCATGATCCTCGGTGCCATGCGGGCAGTGGGAGATGTGGGAGATCCTGACACCTTCATTCCCTTGAGAACAAAGCTGGAAAAATTGGTGAGAAGAAACATGGCAAAGGTGACTTGTGAAATCGAGTCTTTAGAATCCTCTGGTGCAAACCCTACTATATGAAGGAGAGGAGTCGGTGAGTCATGCAGATATATGAAGAACAGTTCAGTCCCAGGGACCAGCCAGAGTGATGGCCTTCCAGCAAAAGTCTGTTGGCATGTTGGAGGGATAGAACAGGCCAGCAAGGCTGGAGTGCAAGGGGCAAGGGATTGAAGAGGCGACGATTCGGTGAGGTCAGGGTGAGGGCATGGGATGGCAGATCACACGGGTCCTTGTAGGCTGTGGGAAGGAGCTGCTTCTACTCCCAGAGAGGTTAGGCACCTTTGAAAGAAGTTGAGCAGAGGAGGGGCATGATATGTCTTGTGTTGTAAAAAGTTCCCTGTGACTTCTGTATTGAAAAGTGACTGGAGGGAGGCAAGCGTAGGAGCAGTTGGGCACGGGAAGAGGCTGCTGCAATCACCCAGGCAGGATGGGCGATTCTGATGTCGGTGGAGTTGGTGGGAAGTGGTTATATTTTGGACATGTTTGACGACAGCGTCACAGCAGTTCCTATGACTTTTGACTGAGTCATAGACCAAATGAAGGTAGGGGAACAGCGCTATCACAGTGTCCTAGCATCCTTGCGTGGAGCTCCACAGGCCACAAACGCAGCGGCTTGAACCACAGTTAATCTGAGTCTGGCAGGACACCTTGTGATCCTCCATGAGCAGGTGATGGCAGGCCTGGAGGAGCTGCTCTACAACCATCCTCTGCTCACACACACCTTGCCTTCCTTAGGAGACAGTTTCCCATCGTCTCCCAGGTTGGGATGGGTGATGAGGTTTTATGCTTTATCTTCTCCCATCTGCCCCCAAACACAGCTGCAGACGAAACTGCTTAAGCTGTGGTCTAGAGCATAGCCCCCCTCTTCTCCCCAGTGTTGTCCTTTTTGATATGCAGAACAAGGACCATGGGGACCTTTGGCTACTCTTCCTTTTGCTGCCAATGTAAATAATAGACTGTCTGAGTCTAAAAATGGCACACTGTATCTTCATGAGTCAAGTCAGTCAGGCCCTGGCTGGTCTGGCCCTGTGATGTGTGGTTGATGCCAAGGGTGAGGCAAGTTGATGTGGAGCAAGATTGGGAGTGGTTAGAGTTTCTGTTTCACACATCCTTGGTTTGAGGTTCTTGTTAGATATTTAGTGGGCAGTTGGACATCCAAGTTTGGAGCTCAGGAGTGAGGTCTGGGATGCAGGTGTAAACCTGCAAATCATTAGCACATGGTTGCTATTCATAGCCTTGAGGCCGCCTGAAGACGGAGGGTAGATAAAAAAAGGAGATGCAAGGACTGAGCTCCAGAGCCTCCCTGAGAAGGTGAGGAAAAAAGGAGACTCAGTGAAAGAAACCGAGTGAGCAGAAGGGAACAGGATAGTGGAGGAGAACCAGGTGAGCGCGAGGTCCTGGAGGCCATATGTTCAAGTTAGATCCAGGAAGCAATGGTTACATGTTAAAAGCTGCTGCTGAATCTCTCAAGATGAAGTCTAAGAATGGACTTGATTTTTTGGCAGGATCCTGTTGATTTGTAATCCTCCTCCCCCCCTCCCCCCCACCTAAGTGAGTTAACCACATATCTTAGAGGACCTTGATGAAAACAGTCTTGGTGAAGTGGGGACTAGGTGGGGCAAAGCTTGGTTGTAATGAGTTTAAGGGAGAGTGGGAGGAGGAGAACAGAACACAGCAAACATGGACAGCTGTTTTGGAGAAGTGCTTCAAAGGGGAAGCAAAAAATGGGGCAGACTCAGCCACAGTGGTGCATTCACCACGTGGGAGCCTAGTAGCCGCATGGGTTCAGTTCCTGAGCCAGCTTGACCGCACTGGCCATGGTTGCCTGTACTTGTAATCTTAGCTAATTGGGAGGTGAGTGTGTGTGTGGGGGGGGCGGGCGGGCAGGAGGATTGCAAGTCAGTAGGATCCTCCCAAATATCTCTCTCTTGGAGCAGACAGGTGGTGTGGTGGTTAGGGGCGCTGGACTCCCACATAGCCGACTACGGTTCACTTCCTGGAAATGGCTTG